TTTTTTTTTCAGCTAAAAATAATAGATTACTCATACATACCTTTAAAATTGTACCACTTCTAATAGATTCCATGAGCATTGGTCTAAGATCAGTTATTGACTCCTCATTATTGTTATTAGTAACATTTGTGTTTATTGTCGTGTTGTTAGAACTATTTGAGTCGGATAAAGGTGGCAGAGGTGGTGGTGTAGGAACATTCCTATTGATTTTTGAAGGAACTGGAGGTGGAGGTGGAGGTGGAGGAAGAGCCGGTGCTGATGTTATAGTTGGTGGAGGTGGTCTCGATGGTAAGGTTCTATGTACTGGTGGAATATTCGATGAAGTATTTAAAGGTGTGCTCAAAGTTAAGTTAGATGGCGCACTCGGTAATGCAGAAGATGCGCTAAAACGATTTGGAGGTAAAGGCGGAGCAATGCGAATCTGATGCTGAAACACAATATGTTATTTTCATTTTATTATGTTTAAAATTATATACTATTTTAATATTTATTTTAACATTATATATGATATCAATAATTTAATTATGTCTAATAATGTAAAATATGTAAATGTAAATATATCAATAAATTATTAGGTGTACAAAAAAGTTCTGAGCTTTTTTTTGTAAAATTCAATCTTTATTTAAAAACAAACGAAAAAATATTAATCAGCGAAATATTCTCCGTTTGCATCAATGCTCCTTTTCAGTTTGCGCAGAGTTTATATCCAGCAGTGCTTGCAATTCGTCCGTTTCAATCTTTTCAGGGCGTCCAGCACGCGATTCATCTTTAAGACTGAAATCTCCTTGGCGAAACTTTTGATACCACCTTTTGCATGTTGCATGACTTACAGCGTTCTCTCCATATGCAGCACAAATCATTTCAGTGGCTTCAGCAGCATTTTTCTTCAGATGAAACGCGAAGTGGATGGAAAATCGAATATGCTCTTTTGTAATTGCCATCGTGAACACTACTGATTTTTGAGGTTATGTGCATCAAACGCCAAACCGTATCGCATTTCAGGAGGTTAAATGTTACTGTTTTAAAACCCCAAAAGGGCGGGAAGATATATAAAATTTAAATTGTTATTTCGGTTGTATCAAATCTAAAGCTCAGAACTTTTTTGTACACCTAATATATATTAAGTATATGTATAATAACAGTAATAGTAATAAAAAAACATTTAATTTATATATGTATATAAAAATTATACATAAAAAGATATATAAAAAAGGATTTTATGGTTTTTTATGGGCTATTCTTTGTCAAGTCGGCCATCCACCGTTCCAAAAACAATTGAACAAGAAAAAACGTATGATATAACTATATTCACCAGTCCAGACCAATAATTGCATTTTACTCTTATTAGCATATGCGATTTCATGAACATTTTCTATCATTTTCAATATTGGTAAATTTTATTGAAATATTTTTTCAGTTTGGAAAATCGCTGCGTACGCGAGTGAGTCAAATGCTTACTGAAGTGAGCAACATTTCGACTAGCGCGCGGTCTATTTGCTGCGTTCAAAATCATTATCCGAGATTCAGAATCATCTATCCAAGTGTAAGTTTATCTTTAACATTCGGTGTAATAAAATAAAATTTACAAAAATATTAATATTTTCCAATATATCCCGTTTTTCAAATTATTACATAATTATTTAAAATTTCGATTTTAATAATTATTTAAAAAATCGATTTCTTCGAAACTATGGGTCAATGAGTAAAACGGCCTGATACATATCGTTTCTTTTTGGCTCAATAACAGCCTGTAAAAAGCGCATCAAAATCTCTGTCACCCCAAGGGGTGTTCCCCTTGTGAGTCGAAAAGACCTCTATCATTTTGCAATTTTTGCAATAGTTAACAAGATTACTAAAAATTAATTACTAAAAATTGCCGAATATATTGATCTTTAATAATTTTTTTCTCAATTACTATTAACTTTACAAAAAAACTCCAAGAAACAAAAATTATTTATTTTCTTCTTACAGAACTCTAAGAATTTTTACAGAATTTTGTATCAACTTTTTAGTACTGCATTTTCTTATACAGGGTGATTTTAAAACAGATCACTTGAATAACTTGCTTATTTTTAACAATAGAAAAAAGTGTCAAACAAAAGTTGTATGGTTTCAAGGGGGGCGTATTTTGGTCGTGTCTTTCTTCTAGGTGGGGGTGCTAAAAAGATATGAAGGTTACCTTCACTTTATTCCTTCTATTGTTAAAAGCAAACGAGTTATATAGGTGACCTATTAAAACAGGTTTTTACTGAAATACTATCAACTTTACAGATGTTGTTGCACCAAATTAATGGGTCACGGGAAGAAGAATGATACACTCAAAGACTGTTCGGCGAATAGGCACGCCCTTTATTCGACAACGCAATCCACTGGACTCTCACTAAAAACCATAACCTCGCCAATCTCGCTTCGTTCGCGCATCGCTGCACACAACACGGCAGCAGCGAACCGAAAAAAACCCAAAAAAAACGTACCAACGGCCGAACGCGTGAGCGGAAAAACGCTCCCGTGATGCCTTGCGCGCGGGTTACGCGTATCCTTTTGGGCGCGAACCGCGCATTCTACATCTCTCCCACCTTGAGTTGCATCCTCACGATCTGGGTGCAACTCAACCTATCCAAAAAGGCAAAGTAAATAAAAAATAAAAAAAATGAAGCTAGGCTTCAAATCGTTCTGGCTTCTTAATAAGTCGTCCGCTCCGAGTTCTTAGACCCGTTTCTTCTGTAGGAACAGACTCCGGCTTCTCCTCGATGACCGACTCCTGCTTCTTCTGCGGGGCAGACTCCGGACTCTCTTCATCCTGAGGCGAAGCTTTGATTGACTTACGGACTCTGCTAGCTTTTTCCGCGTGATGATCCACCTCCAACGGGATCAGTCTTTGTATTGGGCGAATTAATTCTCCCTTTTCCGTTTTCAGTCTCACAACTCTGGTATGTCCGTCCTTTCCAGGAAGGACTTCTTTGACTTATTGCCAGCGGCCAATCCAAACGTCTTTGGGTGTCGTTTCCGACTAGTACTACGTCGCCCACTGCAACCTGCGTGAAACTGCTCTTGCATTTCGTCCGTCTGGATAATTGTATCCAGTATCCTAGATACTGGATGCGAAAACGCCTTCTCAATTCTTCCTTTAGACGTTGGCGATAACGGATTCGTTTTCTTGCTTTTGGGTGCTATTCTCGATTTAGCTTCCACTAGATGAACCTTGACTTCCGTGTCTGATTCGATACACACGAAAAGAACAGCGGCATATGCATCTTTGCTTGCATCTACGAACATATGCAGGGACAATGTATCTGTATTTCTTATCTCACCGAAAATCCAGCGTGGGAACCTCAAGATCCGGAGAAGATTCAGTTGCTGCGCCCAATCCAAGAACTCCTTTTTTCTATCCGGATCAATTTCCGTATCCCAATTTAAACCTTCGCTCCAAAGGCGCTGTCGCAGTAGTTTTGCTTTCATCAACACAGGACAGATCACTCCTAATGGGTCAAAAACCTTCTGCACGTGCGATAAAACAATTTTCTTCGTTATCTTTTCTCCGGTGGGTTGTAAGGGGAAACCCGACAACGAAAGAGTATCCTCTTCAGTATTCCATATTAGTCCAAGTACTGTCGATCGAGTCTTGCATCTCAGGCCTGTGTACTTCCAGTCTCTTAAGGGGTTACACTACCCAAGCGCGTCGAAAAAAATAAGCTTTTTCGTGAATTTTTTTCTTGAATTCTAGGTGGTGGATCAAAACAAAAATTTATGGCTTTATTACACATATATTAAAGTTCTCAAAAATATTTTTTATTTATATTAGGTGTACAAAAAAGTTCTGAGCTTTTTTTTGTAAAATTCAATCTTTATTTAAAAACAAACGAAAAAATATGGCTTGCTGCGTAACGCCAAGCTGTTCTGCAAGCTCCTTTTCAGTTTGCGCAGAGTTTATATCCAGCAGTGCTTGCAATTCGTCCGTTTCAATCTTTTCAGGGCGTCCAGCACGCGATTCATCTTTAAGACTGAAATCTCCTTGGCGAAACTTTTGATACCACCTTTTGCATGTTGCATGACTTACAGCGTTCTCTCCATATGCAGCACAAATCATTTCAGTGGCTTCAGCAGCATTTTTCTTCAGATGAAACGCG